AATTGGTCTACTTCATACATGCCAGCTTTAGGAGGAGGAGCTCGGTCTTCGTACCAATATTTAGCATTCGACGTAAGTCTATCTACTAACTCCTCATTCTCCTCAGGTGTCATCTCCAGAAAAGAACCAAGTTTAGAAGAGTGGTCCAATTCCTTCTTAGATGGTACCGTTAAGCCTTGGTAAAAGTAGAACATCAAACTATCGGAATCAATTAAAGCAGGTGGGCATTTAACCTTCAACTCCTTGAATCTTTCCCATGCTTCGATCATTGATTCCATAGGTGCTTGACGGAAGTTTTGGATGGAGTTCTTAATTTTTACCATGGCGGAGGGTGGAAAATATTCGTGCATGAACGCCTGGTGCAATGCCTCCCAGGTCTTGAAGTGGCCATTAGGAAATGTGTTCAACCATCTGGCGGCACGATCCCGAAGGGAAAAGGGAAAAAGCGATAGTTTAACACGATCCATAGATAAACCGTTGGACTGAAATGTTTGGCAGGTCCTCGAAAACCATAGCATGTTTGCCCTTGGATCTTCAGCTTTTGAGCCTCCAAATTGGTTATTCGAGACCATTTGGATCATTGCTGGTTTGATCTCAAATGAATGGGCTTGACTAGCGGGGAGACCTATGGGATCTTCCTCTACGTACGCCGGGCTCATAGCTTGAAGGATCGTTCGTCTGGGATTAGCCGCCATTTCTTCTTCTTCTTCTGAGTGTTGGTTCTCTTCTTCGTGATTTTCTTCCTCCTCTTCTTCTTCTTCTCTTTGCTCTTCGTCGTTGAACTCCAGTTGACGAGGAACTTTGACGGTGCGGCGTCGGAGCAAAAGTTCGGGGTTTTTGGTTCCCGGAAGAATGTTCTCACTACGAGAACGAGTGTTCATACAATTTTGAAGGCTAGAGGAAGAATTCAAACAACCACCTAATGATAACTAAAAAGGTACTACTCAAGAATATATATATATATATATATATATATATATATACACACACACATATATATATATATATACATATATATACATATATATATATATATATATATATATATATATGGAAATATTACCTTTTATTAATATTTATTTATTTATTTGTTGTTTTTTTTTATTATATGAAAATCGTTTCTATCAACTTTCTTTCAGGCTAGAAAGAAATCTTACTAATAACTTTCTGCGCCGATCCCCGGCAACGGCGCCATTTGGTGAGGACTTTTGGTTTAAATCAAAATTCCCGTAGTAGTAAAGGGAACAGACTAGACCTTTAAAAGATCAGTTTATCCCGTGTCGTCTCAAGGATCGGCCCAAGGGAAAGTTTAGCAGGACTAGCTAGACAAGATTTACCTGTTGAATTGAAAAGTTTTCAATGGGACGAATAAGGAATGGAGATTGAATTTTACCTTTCACGAATAAAAAGTAGGGATGTAATTATTAGTGAGATGATGATTCTTTTTAGAGTAAAATCACTGGTTACTTTTAATTTAAATCTTTTTACTAGTAAGTATCTTTTCAAATATTTGCTTAACAATCAATCCGATGTCTAAAGATCAATTATCGAATTACTGAGCTTGACTTAATTAAATTCCAGATCTCTCAAGAAATATAATTTTCAAGAATAGATTTGCCTTCTCTCGATTTACAAATCTCAAGTATAAATTCTCAGTAATAAAAACTAGTAATTTGTCTTGACCATAATATAATTCAACTCAATGATTTTCTCAGAAAATTATCACCACCATTCTAATAATCACATCCCTAATTAATTTAGCTACTCATAATAAAAACCTTCAACACACATGCATCATAAGAAGACATTTTTCAATTAAAAGTAGAGAGTTGACAAAACTTACTTCGACAAACTGAAGAACTGGATGTTCGGGCTACAAATTGCTTCGTGAAATTTCCAAGAAATAATACTAATCTAAAATATGAAAGTAGCTTTGTAAATCTAGGCTAAAAAAATGGAGAAATTCGGACTTGAGAGAGAGATGGGCGCTGTGCAGCCTATCAAATCGGAGAGGGGTGCTGTATTTATAGGACTGGACGCGAAGCGTCCGACCCCAGCCGTCCAGATCCAAAGCGTCCAAAATTGGACACCTTACACGGCCCGTCCATTCATTGCTCGCCACGTGGCTTTCGTGATGCCCAATCTTTGCCAAGCGTCCAAGGGGAAGCGTCCAACCTGCAAAGCGTCCAAGGCTTGGACGCTTCGGGCCTTCTCCTGTGGGCTTTTTCCGCGGCTTGATCCAATTCAGGCCCAATTTCAATTTTTACTTTGCTTCGCAGTTTGTTTCAGCTTCCTCCGATATTCTCATGATAAAATTCTCAGTTAAAAACTTGTTTTTCTTTCAAATAAGAGCAGAAAAATCAACAATCTAGACTGGACGAACTTTAAACCAATTATTATTCCTTAAAGAACAAATCAAGGATATTGTTCATTTTAACATAAAATTATGCGCTGTTTATCGCTATTTTCGTGCAATAACGCTTAAAACATGTAGAATAAAATAAGAACAAAATGAACTTATCAAATTCCTCACACTTAAACGTTGCTTGCCCTCAAGGAGTTGAAGAACAAGCTAGTGCTCAGACACATACATGTCCACATCGTCCATCCAATCGACCATGTTTTCAATATTTTTACAATAGGTGTAGATCGAAGAAGTACCTTTGATTGTAGTGCAGAATTGATGCTCAAATTACATAGCACATACATGTTTATTGTCATGGAGTAGAGAGTTGATAAGCTACCATAGTTCGGTGGCAGAGGAGATGATCAAATCTAAAACATCGTCACTGTTAGTGGGGAGAATTCATCCTCGCATGAGGGGATGAAGTTGGACCCATTCTGAGTCATTTACGGGGATGGAACAATGGAACTTGTGAGGAACCCGACCAATTTAAATTGCCAAATAAGGAGGAGAAATAGCGTGCACCACTTTTTGTAGTTTGGCTCGATAACTTTTGTTCGTTTGCATATTTTCATTGATCATTTGATAAAATAAAATATTTTTGTCCCCTTTTGTTTTGTAAAACTTTTTATATAGTTTTAAATGTATAATTTTTATTTTTTATTTCTATACCAATTTTAAATAAAATTATTTTAAAAGTAACTGCATTTTGCACTTTGATCAAAGAGTGTAATTTATTTAGGGACGGACGAAGTAATGTAGGGATTCAGGGCCAGCTCCCTTGATTTTTTTAAGGCTATTTATAGAGATGAAAAATGAATAAAGTAGAAAAATATTGTATAAAATAAATCATAACATAATTTAACAACCCCGGCATTATATTTCAAATATTTCATCTTTATATTTTATTTAAATAAATATTTTAACTTTTAAATTAGAATGCATTTTGACACAGGGGGCACAATTTTTTAACTGGGGCACTCTTTTAATTTACCACAATTTTTTTTAAACACTATATATATTAAAAATTGACTGGGACCAATGAATGCACCGATTACCTTAGCTTCTATTGGAATTTTTGGCATTTTAAAAAGAATTGAATGGACTAACTTGGGTATATTTATCAATAGCTCGACTAGCGGTTTTAGCCATCAATTAATGGACGTATGTTCTCTTAAATGAGATAAATATTTTTGATAATTTATACGCCAAAAATGATAGAGGGTGAATGACAAATTGATTCTCACAGTTAACTCGCTAATATAAGAAAATGGTAAGAATTGTAATTTTTGCAATTTTATTGAACCAATCTTCTACTATTATTTTTATGTGTTGTTTAAAAGTTAGTCCACTTTTACGGAGTTAACTTACCATTAATGTCTAATTATCTAGGACTAATATTAAACACAACGTAGCTTCTAACGAGCATAATTATGAGTAATTATTGTCATTACTCACATCATTAGTATGGAGGTTACTTCAGTAATGCCTTCCACCACTAATGCTATTATTAATGTGTTATTAATTATTATGGAGGAGGTTACATGGTTTGAAGTCTAGCCTATTAAAAGAGAAAAAACAAGACTCACCCCTAACCTTTTTTTGGCGTTCCATACGTGAAAGAAATAAGGAAAAATAAAAGAAAAAACCTTTCTTTGTTCTTAGCGAGAGCTCTTGGTTTTTTGAGTCAAATTTCTGGAGATTCCTTTCAAGTTTTTAGTCGCCAAAGTTCCTACTATTATTGTTCTTTGGTGGTTGTTGATCCTAATATTCAGTTACACCCTGAGAGGGGTGAATTAGGGTGTTTGAAAGTTGTTTGCAAAAACAAAAATTCCAGCAGAAGTAAAAATGGAAAACGAGCAAGGAAAACTAATAAGAAATAAAAGAACCATCACAAAAGATTTTAAATTGGTTCGGAAACTCTCTACTCTAGTACCTCAAGGCTCCTCCTCAAGGATTTAACCTCCACTAACTTGTTTGGCTTCACCTAGAAGACTGAAACGAGATTTGACAAACAACCCTTGCCAATAAGTGATGAAATTTTACAATGGCTATCGGGACTGTGTAGATTTAAAGGCTACCTTCAAACTTACAACACAATGAGGATTTATAAGTTATCCACACCTTTTACAAAATGAGAAGATTAATGTTGCTTTTTAACCAAAGAATAAAAGTTCAGGCTTTGGGTAGAAGAAGAACAAAATGAAATCAACAACAACAAGCTTATGGGGAAGATATAAATGATAAAAAAACAAAAGCCCTTGTGTGTGAGTGCTTAAAACAATAACAAAATAAGCTATCTCAAAAAATAACAAATTATAAATAAGTAATAGCTTTAGAATACTCAAGAAGAAGTATATAGCATTAGGAATGGTAAAAAGCCATTAGGAGTCGTTGGAGAGTGATTTATGGTTGATTAATTTCAAAAATGGAAATCTCGAACAATACCACAACGGTCACGGTACCTAGCCTGGTAAGTAGGTATAGGGCCAGTCTCGAGGTACTGCCCTGACGGTAGGATGTACCAGCTGGGGTACTGCTGTAGTTCATTCTCTGTTGGTGGACTCTACACCAACCGGTACCCTTTCCGCAAGCTTTTGAGCTCAAATGCAAAGAGATGAGTATTGGGAAATTAGTTCTTGGCTTCAATGTCCATTAAGACAGTTTGAACAGTGAGGACAAAGAGCTACTCCTAAGGTCAATGTGGGGGATTATCCTCTGAAGGATAATTTTTCTAAGGGCCTAAGACTATAAAGGACAATAAATTGTTAGGTCCTAGATGAGGAGAGGTCTCTTAAAATGGAAACCCTCGATCTCCTAGTTTGTGTCTAACAAATTATCTATTAGGAAGTGGGATATACACATAGGTAATGACCACGCGCATGCTGGCCATTATTAAGGCAATATCATTATTGATCTTTAAGGAACTCGTTGTTTGCCTATGTGTGTGAGTCTTCTAATTTGTGGCATGGTATACTAGGACATGTTAATTATGCATCTCTTTGAAAGTTAATTAACATGGAATATATCCCAAAGTTTGACATCGACTTGTCCCACAAATTTGAGACGTGTGTCGAAGCGAAGTCAACAAGAGGTTTGTTTCAAATAATTGAACGGACTACTCAGCCGCTAGATCTGATTCACACGGATCTATGTGATTTCAAAACAATGCCTTCCAGAGGTTGTA